GTGTGTGTGTGTGTGTGTGTGTGTGTGTGTGTGTATGTGCGCGTGCATGTGTGCCTCAATCTATGTGTGGTTTGTGTGGGTGTGCTTAACTTGGTTTATGTGTGTATATGCTTTATACTGTATGTGAGATGTATACATACATGTATGTGCTTAACTGTGTGTAGGTGTGTATGCTTGTGTATGTGAGGATACTTTCTTCCACGTATGTACATGTGGCAGCCTGAGGCTGACATCCAGTGTCTACTTCTATTGTTTTTCATTTTATTTTTTTTGAGACATTGATTTCTTTCTGAACCTAGAACTCATGGATGGGCTAGACTGACTGGTTAGTCAGCCTCTAGGATCTGCCAGGCTCTGCTCTACCCAAGCATTGGGATTACAGATACACAACGTTGAACGTGGCTTTTACCTGGGTGCGGGAAATCTGAACTCAGATCCTCATTCATTCACAGTAAGCACTTTACCCACAAAGCTATCTTCCCTGTACCAAATTTGCCTAACTCTTCATCTAATAATTCTTCTTCTTAGAATAAAGAAATAAAAGTTTAAATGCAAATCTATTTAAAGAAGCTTATTGATAATGATGAAATGAAGCAGCTGAAATTTTGTTTAAATAAGGAAATGGGGGCTGGAGAAATAAATTAGCAGTTAAGAGTACTGTCTGCCCTTCTAGAGGTCCCACGATGGATGTACAGCGTCTACATGTTGGTGCATATGTAAACTTCAGTTTCAAAGGCTCAGATGCCCTCTTCTGGCCTCCTTTTGTATTGCGTGCACGCCATGCACAGACATCATACATGAAGACAAAACACCCATATACATTAAACAGAGATCAAAAAGGAAATAAATAAGCCAAGGTATGTCTATAAACTGGAATGATGTGCAGCCATTAAACAAAGTGTTTAAAAACTCAGCAAGGGAGACTGCATAAGCAAAGCAGAAAACACTGCAGTTTCAGTCACAGAAATGTAAGTACCTAGGAAATACTAACGTAAATTCATTAACCTGTGAGTAGTAGATATTTCTAGGTCACATAGTAAATTAACTTACATTGTGTTTGCAAGGAGGAAAATATATATTTGAATTTCAATATTTTTACTTTCTCTAGTATTTTCACTGTCTCTCATTTAAGGTGCCACAGGAAGGAATAGGGAACAAAACAACAGCCTGTGGCTCCTGTTAGCTAGTGTGTGAAATGCATAAGCATTTAGGTTTATTTTGCCTTTTAAGTGAAATTTCTCCTTATTAAATAAGAAACTTTAAGACAAGACTTTGTAGGTTCTTATTCACTACTTCCCTAGATGGAGGACCTTTGTCCTTAGACAACATTTGTGTCGGATATAATGGCACACACCTGTAATTCCAGCACTTGGAGGGTTGAGGCAGGAGGATTGTCCCAAATTCAAGGCAATCCTGTATTACAGAGTGACATTCTGTCTAAAAAACCAGATACAGGAGTGCACACATGTGCACACCATCTGTCAGCCTATCCGTGATCTGCAGGGGGACAGTTTATTTGCCCTTCCACTTGTTGAGACAGAGCTGAACAACAACGGTGACTGAGAGTGCTGAGCAGTGGTGATGAGAATTCAGTGTTTGAGAAACTCAGGGTGATGATGACCCATTAATAATGTGCTGTCTAGCAAATCGTGACTCAGTTTCTACATCTTCAAAATGGTGCTAATGGCAGAACCAAATATGGTGAATATAGAAAACAAACAAGCTTACAGAGAGCAGTGCTTTGTAAATTTAAGTAAATTATGCTTAATCATACTGATCGATTAACTCTGGATTTCCTAAAAAAAACAAAAACAAAACAAAAACAAAAACAAAATCAAAAACAAAACAGGTTACTTGGGGATAGACAGATGGCTCAGCAGTTAGGAGCTCATTCAAAGGATCTGGGATCCATTCCCAGCACCCATACTGTGGCTCACAACCATTCATAACTTCAGTTCCAGAGGATCAATGATTTCTTTTGACTTCTGTGGGTTCCAGGCACACATGGACAAACATGTAAATAAAACGCCCATACACATAAAGTCAAAATAAAATAAAATTGGAAAAACAATTTAATTGCTAAGCAAATCTATTTTATATTATATGGAAAGTGTCAAAAGTACCACCAACTTATGACAAGAAAATATTAAATTTTAACTTCCAAAAAAACCCCTGATAATTTATTGAAAATTATTTCCTTAAATATATATCTATAAGATTTGAACACCAGGTGGCACCAAAATAACTTGGTTTGTTTGGCTCCTTCCACTTGAAATTACACAGCATAGCTGTCAGTCAGGCTGTTACAATGATGATCATGTTATTAATGATGTGAGTATAATTAAGCCAAATGTGTTGTTTCTGGAAAGCAAAACAAAACCTGACATTTAAACTATACATAAAAGGCATATCTCTGGTTTGTGGAGCCTCTCTGGAATATTATGACAATTGCCATTGTTTGACTTTATTACTTGCTTACAATTTAAATCTCTAAGTGTATATGTAAGTAAACTAGTAATAACAGGAACAAGATATTTCTAAATCTCTCTTAGTGAGGACTTGCTGAGAAATCATTAATTCCATGGCTAAGTATTTTGTTTTATTTTTTTATTTTTTTTTTTACTCTTTCTGGTTACCTTTAGTATAGAGATAATCAGTGTTTATTCACACTATTTGATTTTTTTTATTTTTGTGATACATTTTTTTTCTGTAATCCAATGACACATTCCAAAACAAGGACTGATAACAAATCAGTGTGTTTGTAAGAATTGTCATCCCAACTGTGTGTGGAATCAGACCCTTTGTGGGAAGAAATGTGAGTAAATGTGTTGAGACATAAACATTTCCAGGTGATTTAAATGATTTCACAAGGTGTCAACCTTAAAAACCTCAAAGGAAATGATTATTTTAACGTTATCACCCTCCACAGAATAGCCTTCTCAATGGTATAGCAGGCAAGCTGCAGGGATGTTTAGAAGAAAGAGATTGAAAGGAAAGCTGCGGAGAATAAACAGTATTTAAACATGCCCACCTGTCTGGGGAGTTCTGTGAACAAAGGGTGAGCTCCAAGGCTGCCAGTTTCTTTTACCCAGTACTTGACATCTCACTTGAAATACATATATGCTGTTTGGCTCCAGGTAGAATTCTGACTGCTGCACATATGTTAAGTTTGTGTCAAATTCCTTAACCTAAAATAGATGCATAATGGCAGTGAAGTGATGTGACGGGCATTTAGAATGGCTATTCCATTCAGCAGATGTATTAACTCAAATAATTATTGTTTATACAAACAACATAAACTAAAATATCCAAGGAAAGTATAAGTAAAAAACAATTATCATGTCATGGCTAAAATAGTTACCATATTCTTCCAGAAATGAATGTTTAAGGTACTCTGATCCTCATCTTACTTTGATGTAAATTATGGTCTACATGGATTTTGCCTTTAAAAACACTGTACTCTGACCTTTGGCATCAAGAGACTTTGAGGCATAAGCCTGCTCTTGGTCACTGGCTAATAAAGGACTCATATACTTTTAATTGACTTAATCAGGGTGGTTGTCTATATCTTTCTTGTATGGATTATTACAGGCGCCCCACCCCATCTCCAGGGCTGCACTTCACAGGAGCCTCTGATGCTTTTCTAATAACACATGCACCAGGCCCCTACTTCCAGTTTTCCCTGCTGGCTAGACCAAAGCAGGTTCACATTCTCAATCAAAAGATGAAACACAGGTGTCTGAGAAACACTTAAAGAAATGTTCAACATATTTATCCTTCGTCATCAGAGAAATACAAATCAAAACTACTTTGAGATTTCATCTCACACCAGTCAAAATTGGCAAGATCAATAAAACAAATGACATCACATGTAGGGAAAACCCAACTTATTCATTGTTGCTGGGAGCACAAACTCATACAGTCACTATGTAAATTAGGGTGTGAATTCATCAGGAAGATGAGAATCTATCTACCATAAAATCCAGCTTGAGCATATATCCAGAGGACTCTACACCCCACTACAGAAAAACTTGCTAATCCATATTCATTGCTGATCTATTTACAATAGTTAAAATTGGAAACAGCCAAGATGCCCATCAACTTATGAATGAAAAATGAAAACGTGATACATTTATATAATGCAACATTGTTCAGCTGTTTAAAAAAAAAAATCCTAAAATTTGCAGGTAAATGGATGGAGCTAAAAAGAGTCCTCCTGAGTGAGGTAACCCAGGCTCAACTATTGTGTTTTCTCTTATATTTGGATTCTTTTTTCTTGAGACAGGGTTTTTCTGTGTTACAGCCCTGGCTTTCCTGGAACTCTCTCTGTAGACTAAGCTGTCCTCCAACTCACAGAGATCCTCTTGCCTCTGCTTCCCGAGTGCTAGGATTAAAGGCATGCGCCACCACCACCACTGGGCATGGATGTTAGATATATATCCACAGAAGTTAGGAACTTAAAAAAGAACTGGGAAGGAGAAGAGGATCTCCCCAGGAAGGGAAAATAGAATAAGCAGAATGTATTGTTATGGAGAAGGGAGGGACTGAGTTGGAAGGATTAAATGGGGAGAAGGATGAAAGAGAAGGGTAATAGGAAGAAGATGGGGAGGGCAACAAACTAATGGCCGTTTGAGGTACTGTATGGAAACCTACTAGTATAGAAGCTTCCTAAAATGTATGCACAGATGAAAGAAATCTAAACAGGGTCACCAATAATGGAGTAGCTATTGCTACTATATATAGTAGCTATTGCTAACTATATATTTTACACCACCAAGTAAAACTCCAGTGTCTGCAATGGGTTACATCTAGTTGAGGTGGCCAACACCTCCCCATGGAAATTCCCAAAACACTTCAGGCTATTGCCAAGACTATTGGAAGCCCCTATTGCTGAAGATAATTCTTCTACATGGGAAGGCCCTATTGCTGAAGATAATTCTTCTACATGGGAAGGCCCTATTGCTGAAGATAATTCTTCTACATCTCACTGAACACTCAGAAATTCAGCTGGTGTCCAACTAGGAAATTCACTCTTACTGACTAGTGTTCATGATACTAGAAGGTACTCATGCTACCAGTGTGGAAGCACCAACCAACCTACAAACCTTGAGATCTGCAATGGTGACCTGTCTGCAAGATGTTCTGGCTCAAGAGTGACACAAACAGTGTGTGAGTAACCAATCACTCTCTGCTGGATTTCAGGCCTATTTCATGGGGTGGAACCCATGCCAGACAATGCTTCTGTGTTCAGTGAGATATATAAACATCTTCAGCAATAAGGCAAAGCAACTTACTGAAGAGTTTTTCTGGCTTTCAGTTTCAGAGGGATAAGAATCCATGATGGCAGAGTGGAGGCATGGCAGTTGCAGCAGGATGTAGAGGGCTCAATATTGAACCATAAACAAAAATCAAAGAATGTGAATTGGGAGCAGCATGTAGATTTGAAACCTTGGAGCTCATTCCCAGTGATTGACCTTCCTTTAGCAAGGTCACACTTCCTAAAGCTACCCAAATCACCACCAACAAGGGATCAAGTGTTCAGATGTTAGGGGGAACATTTCTCATTCAAATTACCACACAGTCCCAATGTGTTCTTTTCTCCTAGTGGCCATGACTTGCCAAAACTGTTAACAAAGGCTGAGAGCCTAAATAAGGCTGGCAGCCCTAATAAGCTATGTGCAGTCACTCATCTCAATGGATCAGTTAAAAAGCCAAAGACATGATGAAAAGCAGGATGAGGTGATTTATTCAACACAGCTACATTGAGAGGAGAACTAGGAGGTCCAGGACATCTTAGGGGGTCTGACATAAAGCATAGGTTCAAACTAAAGAAGGTCTGGCAAAAGTGTGGTCTATCCATCACCACTATCAAGGCTTCATCTGTCCTTCAAAGTGGGCAGACAAGCCTGTAAAGCTGGGTGAAGCCTCTCTTTGGCAGACAAATTACCCCTCTAGATAGGACTAGGATCCTAGCAAGAGATTCCTGAGGCAAATTCTAACATTTTAGGGACCATTGTTTCAATATTCTGATAGCCAGGGACAATGGCCATTCCATGCCAGGGAATATAGTTTACATTTACACTTTGTAAACTAAAGCCAATGAAGTAAATGTACATGAATTTGTAAACTTGTATATTTATTGTTATTCAATAATTTTGATGTGGAATGACACAATGCATCTGTGTCATTGGCATAGCTCACTTAGACACAACCATCATTGGAGATCCGGTCTTACTTTGTAATTTGTACTACACTCTGGCTGGTTTGTTTTCCTATTGCGATTTCCAAGACTTTCTTAAACCTTTTTTGTGTGTCCCAATCAAATCTTAAAATCCAAGAAAAGATTGTGAACTGAAGTTCTTAGAGGAAGCTAAATCTATATTAAATGTCTTGCAGATTGCTAGATCTTGGTTGATCAGAACATCCTCATTGTGGAGAGATGCAATGTTGTAGTTTATACCCTGTTTTCTTGGGCTTTCTTACCCCCCTTTAATAGCCATTTGTCTTATGTTTTGCATCTGGCCTAACATTCACTTGGGTAAATGTGTTAGAATGTATCACTAAGCTCAGCAGATGGAGGCATCCACCAATTTCACAATTACCCACAGTTAAATGGAGATTGCTGTAGACTGTACAATTTGAAAGCAGAGCAGAGCTTTGACCCTGTGGTCTGAGCCACAAGGCTTTCCTTAGGTAGCTGTTATTGCCCTCCAGCTAATCTGATGGAGACTGTCACCACAGAACTGAGGTGAAAGGTATGTAGCCCTTTTCAACTTTCAATTCTTTTTTACTGGGATGACCTAGATGAAAATATCAGACAAGCTTCATCCTGGCTACCTTTGACTTAACTGGAAAATTACAGAAAGAAATGGTGATCTTCCTTTTTCTGTGGTCCTGGCTGTATTTTAGAAGCATGGTAGTGGGGCTGGGATGTGGGCTTTGGATTGGAGCCTGCTCTTTTCATTTTCTGGCTATCCACTGGATACCTGGAGCAATACAGATTTGTGAGAGGCACTTATGTACCATGTAAACTTGGAAACACTTGGCTTGATTTACTCAGGCTTTACTTCATTTATATGATGAATGGAGTTAATTCGGCCTGTCACAAAGGATTGTTGAGAGGTTTATTGTGAGGATTATAGATGATGATGAATATAATAGTGGAAGGAGGCATGGATAGAGGCATCTTTACATTTGAGATGTAGCAATTTGCTTAGAAAAATTTCCTCCATGGGGGAGGGGAGGCTAATGAATGCTGTGGGATAGTATGCTATGAATATATATTGTTCTCATTGGTTGATAATAAAAACTGTTTGGGCCTATAGCAAGACAGTATATAGCTAGGTGGGAAAGCCAAACTGAATACAGGGAGAAAGAAAGGCGGAGTGGAGACAGATCTGATCCAGCTGCCCAAGGGACAAAACATCAGAGAACTGGTAAACCACAGGACACATGGTAGTGTATAGATGAATAGAAATGGGTTCATTTAAATGTAAGAGCTAGTTAGAAATAAGCCCAAACTATAGGCCAAACATTTTGTAGTTAATACTAAGCCTCTAAGTGATTATTTAGAAATGGCTTTGGGACAGGGCAGGACAGAGAAGCTTGTTCCCTAACTTGAACTAATAAAAAAGAAGAAGAAGAAGAAGAAGAAGAAGAAGAAGAAGAAGAAGAAGAAGAAGAAGAAGAAGAAGAAGAAGTCACTTCACTGACTAAGAGAACAGAAACTTGGAAAAGTCTCCAGGGCTCCTCCAAGCATAAAAGTGACTCAACAGCTGCTGTGGGAGGATCCACTGGGTGCTGTACAGAGAGACTGAGTTACCTGAATGCTGTGCACATAGCTCCAGGGTGGATGCTTTCAGTGAGTCATCACCAGTATTTGGGGCTTTTGTGTAATGCAGCTGCTTTTGAGTCATTCCTGCTCCTGTGGGAAACTCGTCACCTATATTCCTCTTAGAAGACCCAACAACAATTCATTGTTTCACCAAGTTGGGCATTGGTGTAATCTTTCATTTGGTCTGTCATGGGTTCCCTTTCTGTGGTGAATAGACTTCTCTTTCATCTATCTATCTATCTATCTATCTATCTATCTATCTATCTATCTATCATCTACTATCTATTTCTAATCTGTCTATATCTATAATCTATTTATCTATGGTCTATCTATAATCCATTTATCTATCAGCCCCATTTGTGTGTGGATGTATTGCATCTCCCCAGGAGAATGTTGTCAGGCAACATTCTGTATTAAAAGGGCATATTTGTACTTCATAATTTGAAAGACATCTGAAGGAACACACTGTAGAAATCCCAGCACCACTTTTAGCAGTTTGTTTTAAGTTAACCTTTAACCTAGCTGTAATCCAGACTGTGACTTGGGAAGAATGTAAGATTCAGTGGCCTTGAGTGTGTGTATAAACTCACCTGTCCTTACACAGAGGCCATAATGAGAGAAACATCAAGAGGTAAGCAGAGACAAAGCTGACCACTTGACCAGTGGAACAAAATTAAACCTTTCAATGACTTATTGTCTTTTCTGACTTGCTATAAAAATACGCTTACTTTGGCATTCAGAGGACATGTAAACTAAAACTCCTGATACAGAGGTGGGCAAGGCAGGGCTGTTCTAGAGGGCTAGAACTATTTGAGAACTAGAGGCAGAAACGCTGAAAGTGACAGTCCAGGTGACACAGTAAGACTCTGTTCAAAATTTTAAGAAGTTAGCAGCTACCTAGCCTCCAATCCCACAGGTACTAGGAGGGGACAGAGAAAGAATATTTCAACTGGAGGACAGATGGCCTCTGAAAAACCTGTCCCAAGGCATTGGTAGTGCCTTTCTAACTGGCAGATATTCATGTAGTCTTCAGTTACCTGGCTCATATGAAAGTTTATTATATTCAAAAGTAATAAAATGACATTTTCCAAATGTAACCTGGAACCATTTCCTAGGTCAGACTAATTCCAGTTAATGTGCATGTTGTTCATAGATATTGCCCTGAATTTTACTAATGAAGCTCAGACACTTAGAAGCAGCTTTTGCTAAAAAGCCTTCACTCCTCTCTTGGACTCACAATATAACTAAAGGCAGGAGACAGCCCACATCTCACTTTCATTTCAAGTACATTTGCATCCTGTAGTTTGAAAGCACAGAGAAAAATTATTGTCCTTGTTTCTTTTCAGGGTTCCAGAAACAGAGTGGTTTCCCAGAACCACCCTGGTGCCCATATGAGGATATGCCTCTATGGAGGAGAGGGCACACCTCAGTGAAGGGGAAGGCACACCTCAGTGAAGGGCATGGCATGCCTCTGTGAAGGGCATGGCATGCCTCTATGGAGAAGAGGGCAGACCTCAGTGAAGGGGAGGGATGCCTCTGTGAAGGGGAGGGCACACCTCTGAGAAGGGAGGGCACACCTCAGTGAATGGAAGGCCTCTCCTGGGAGAAGTAATGTCCTGAGAAGCACTTTAAGGAGTAAGTACATTGTCAGACCATGTTGCAGGACCAGAACTGAGATGGTAATTAATGAGATCACCCCTAGTCAAGCACTGGGTAAGTATGTATGCCTCCTACCATCTATTTAAACCAAAACTTCATGTCAGTATCCTGAAGATGGACTTGGGGGTTATTGAATCCTTTATTTTTAATTTTTAATTTTTCCCCATTGTGGTTACATTCAACGAGTCTCTTCTCTTTTCATATATCTGCTTTCACTTTTCTCTTTGATTAATATGTTGGAGACAAGTGACCGTGCTTAGCCTGTTAAGGCTTCCAGGACGAGGCTTGTACCCTAAAAGCTTTGATTGAAAACCAACTGTGTTTCTCCTAAAATACTTGGTAATCTAATCTTGGTATTTAAGTTCAGCTAGTTTGTTCAGAAATTCACTTTTACTTTAATCTCATGTAAGATTAAAGTTTATACTAGTTATAAATCTTAGAGTTTGATTGTACACTTTTAAAGATTTGTTTTTATTTATGTGTATGCTTATGTTTGTGTTTGTGCACATGTATGAAGATGCCCATTAAGGCCACAAGAAGGTTGTAAGATACCCATTGTTGGGAACCAAATTATGGTCTTCTGAAAGAACAGCATTGCCGTTAGCCACTGAGCCACTGCTTTGGCTCATGCATCACACATTTTCAGTTTAAAAACAGACATCTTACTCTAACATCTCCATTTTGAATCCCTCCCACCCACCATGCTGTCAGAATTTAGCATCGAATGCTTTAGCTTTATATCCATGGATATGGATGTAAATCTCATCCCGAGACAATCCTAAGAAACTAAAAATGAACCCATTTATGTGTCAACTCAGCCTATTTAGCAATTTACAGAAGGCAGAAGCAACCCCACTCAGAAGCACACAATAATCACTGAAACCAGAGTAGTTCAAATGTCACATCAGACAAAAGTGTGTGGAGCGGGAGCCTTCCCAAGTCCAGTCTGAAATCTGCTAATTGGCTGTTCTGTAAGTCATTTCCTCAGATGCTAAGGAGTAACAAAAACTTAGCTTACATTCCACGTTTGGTTCCTTGTTGCTTTGTATCTCATTTCACAGAATGCGTTCTCAACCATGGTTTTGCTATCCCAGTAAATTATGGTCTTGGGCACAGTAGCATTTACAGATTCAGCTCTGGAAATGACGGGCACAGAAGGTATTACTAGAAGAAGAAACAAAATACTAGTGATTAAGGAAGTTCCCCAGGAAGAAATTGGTAGCTTTCTATCAATATGTAGACATGTCAAAATTCAAATTACAAAACCCTACAAATTCATGATCTAAGTAACAGCTGATGAACTTTGTCTTATTTTCTGATTTATTTTGTAAGAGAGAAATACTCCTTAAAAGTCCAATGAAACTCTAGCTGCTGGCCTTATTATCCAGAGTATAAAAAAGAGATAAAGGAGATATATTTTCTTCCATGGCTTGTGTTTTAAGTGTTCCCAATGTACCATGTGTTAAAGGCTTGACACCACTAGAAGACGAAGGGAACTTTAAGATGCATAATCTAGTAGGAGGTCTTAGATAATAAGAGATATGTGACTTCAAGGGGTATATTTGGGGCTCTGGCCATTCCTCTCTCTCTTTTTGTTTCCTAGCAACCATAAAGTAAATAGCCTCTTCCACCATGCACTCTACTGTGATGTGCTTCTCGCCATGAGCCCAAAGCAGTGGGATCAACCAATTGTGGACTGGTACTATCAAAATGGCAAGCTAAATTACATCTTTCCTTCTTACAAGTTATCATCTCAGGCATTTTGTCACAGTAACAGTAAGCTAACACTGTATCAATGTTTCTTTCAGATAATCTTGCCTGACAAGCTGTTAAACATATCTTTCACAGTAATACTCTTTTTGTATTGGGGAATAATGAAGCATGTGAATATTTGCATCTACTGCTAACTTGTTTTGTTCTCCCGTTGCAATAAATAGGTTCTCTAAGAGTAAGACATTGTGTGTCCTGAAAGAGGGGCTGACATTCGGATGGGTCACCTTATAGTTATTTTAGAAGAAATTGTGTAACTAGTAACTAGGATATTCATATTTCTAAACCATCCGAACACTTGTAAATTTCTTTATCTGAACAGAATATATTGTTGATACTTTTCATTTATTCTATATGTAGAATATAAAGGTGAAAACCTTTGTCTTTGTTAGATAAATTATCAACTCAAAAACCTGCATCTAGGCTTCAGGAACTGTTGCCACAACTTTAATATGAATTAACTCATTTTTCTTCATTTTTGACTTCGTAAAATACATTTTGGCAAGCTATTGTTGAAGTAACAATTATCTAAAATCATGTACAGAGGTTTATAAAGAATTATAAAACTAAAATATGCTCTCTGCAGTATAGTCTTATACAGGACTAAACAGCAAAAACATCAAAAGAAAATTAGTTTCATTCCAGGGCTCACTGCAGTTGACTTATATCACCTGCATTACACAGTTGCTTTCCTTTGACTAGTACAAGATGTGTTCCAGTAGTAATCAGATTCTAAATTTTTCTGAAGTAAAGAAAGTAGACTTTCAGAGCCCTGGGACCACATAAAATCCTTTTAAGTACTATCAAGGCTATGAATTATATTCCTGCTCCTGTCTCCCAGTTGAGTTTGGGGCAGACATTCATAATAGCACCATTAAGCATTCTGAACCCTGTAAAAATTATCAAAATCTCAAAAAAAATTAATGACTTAGGGAAAAGAGAAGGGGAGAAGATGAGGGAGGAGGACATGAGGGATCAGGAAGACTAAGTCAGGAGAGGAAGAGGAGAGGAAGAAAAGAGGTACCTTAATAGAGGGAGCCATTATAGGTTTAAAGAGAAATCTGTCACTAGGGAAATGTTCAGAGATCCACAAAGATGACCCCAACTAAGAATTTAGGCAGTATTGAGAGGCCACCTTTGATGTCCTTCCCCTATAATGAGATTGATGACTACCTTAATTACCATCCTGAAGCCTTCATCCAGAGCTGTTAGAAACAGAAGCAGGCACCCATAGCTAAAGCAGTGAGCCATGCTCCTGTAATCCAGTTGTAAAGATGGAGGAGGAATGAACAAAGGAGTCAAGGCTGCTGGAGAAACCTACAGAACCAGCTGACCCGACCTAGTGAGAGCACACGGACCCCAATCGTAAAGTTGGGGAACCAGCATTGGACCAAACCAAACCCTCTGAATGTGGAAGCCAGTTAGGAGGCCTGGGCAGTCTCCTGGGACCTCTAACAGTGGAACCAGTATTTAGCCCTAGTGCACAAATGGACTTGGGGATCCCATTCCCTCTGGAGTGATACTATTTCACCCCAGATACGTGGAGGAGGACCTAGGCCCTCCCCCAAATGATGTGACATCCTTTGCGGATCCCCTATGGAAGGCCTCACCGACCTTGGGGAGTGGGTGGGGGGTGGCCTGGGGGGTAGGTAGGGGGCATGGGAGGATGGGAGGGAGAGGGAACGGGATGGGGATTGATGTGTAAAATGATTGTAAATTATTAAATAAAAAAGTAGATAGAAAAATAATGACTATGTTAAGCCCTCTTCATAAAAAATAAGTGCATAAAGTTGGAGGTGAGGATAAAAAGAGAAAGGAACTCATGGCCATGTGTACGATTACAGGATTGGTCACAAAATACTCTGCCAGAACCCTAATGTTCCACAGAAAATGCTTATACAGTGTCTGTCCTTCAGCTGTCTGACCATACCTGGATTGGCATCACCTTTGTTACTAATCCCTATAGTCAAGGGTAATCAATTCAAAACAATTTATAAAGTCATCCTCATTTTGCCTTTGAATTTTTTTGCCTCACCCTCTTTCAATTCACATATAGTTTACACCAGCAACATATTCACATTGCACTGCTAAGACTGAACAAACCAATTCACCCTTGAAGAGTCCCTTAGCTAATTATTTAGGTTATCAGGAGATTTTGCAGAAACAACTATTAAGAGGAAGCAAATATATGTTTAGTTTTTTGAGAAATGCAGGTAGTACCTGTGGTAGTTTGAATCATGTGCCCCCTAAGTCTTGATGTCCATTTGGTGACTATGTAGGAAAGATTAGGGGGTATGGGCTTGTTGGGGGAAGTGTGTTAGTGGGGGCAGACTCTGAAGTTTCAAAAAACTCTTGCCATTTCAAATTATCTACTGCTGCCTTCTCTTTGCAGATCAAAATGTAATCTCTCAGCTGCTGCTCCTCCTACCTGCCACCAAACCTTCACCCTGCCATCAGAGACTCTGACACCATAAGCCAAATCAAACTCTTTCTTTGATAGGTTGCCGTGGCCATGGTGTCTTACCACAGGAAGAGAAGCGTAACTAATACAGAAGTTGGTACTAGGAGTGCTTTTTGGAGGAATGTGCACTACTTTGGTACCAATGTGTTGAAAAGTGGTTGAATTCTGTAAGCAGGGATTAGTGGCTGTCCTAGTACAGGCTTGGAACAGAGTAGTGATGAGACCTATACAAAGTGTGAAGCCATGGTTCAAGAGACTTCAGAAGGAAGCGATAACTTTAATTGGTGTGGAGATCATTCCTGTGATATTTTGGCCAAGAATCTGGCTGCCTCCTGCCCAGGTCCTAAGAATTTACCTGAGACTAAATTGAGAAATAGTGTGACTAATTTCTCTGGAAAAGATTTCAAGACAGCTTGACCTTGACTCTGTCTGGTGGAGATTACTAACCATCAGCATGCAGGTTTATAGTGAATAAGAGCAAGAAATACACACTGTACAGAGAAAAAGACTCACAGCCAAGGTTGTGCTGCAAGAGATAGGGCAATCAAGGCAAGGAAGGCCTCATCTACAGTGGAATAAAGGGAAAGGTGTCCTCAGGGCAAGATCCCACCCAACTAAACATCTACATTTAACAGGAAAAGCCTGAGGGATTTATATATTCCTAAAAAGCAACAACTAATGAAAGCTGCTGCAAATGTGATTCAAGGGAGCCAGGCTCCTTCCAAATGGGTCAGCTGAACTTGACAGTGTCATCCACATGGTTCTGACCTTAGAGTCATGAAAGATACACAAGGAAAGGTTATAGAATCTCCCTCCATGGTTAAGGAGAGTCACTGAGTCCAGACAATGTTTCAGTTATGATATGATCATAAGACTTACGGATGTGAAGCAGGGAATGGAATATGGTTGTTTGATTGAGACTTCCCCCTTAAATAAGCTTTTGGCATTTGAACGTTTGTTCCCCAGCTGGCGGCCGTTTGGAGGAGAATTAGAAGGTGTGTTTGTTGGAGGAAGAATGTCATTGGAGGTGGGTTTTGGGGTTTCAAAAGACTCCTGCCGTTTCAAGTTAACTCTCAGCCTCCTGCTTGTGGATTGAGATGTGAACTCTTAGCCTTTGCTCCACCATCATAGACACTAACCCTCTGGGACCATAATGCCAATTAAATTTTTCGTTTTAGAAGTTGCCTTGGTCATGGTGTCTTAGCACAGTAATAGAAAAATAACTAATACAGTAGCAGGAGAGGGTTAGCATGAAAGAGCAATGCAATGAAGAACTAGTCTTCAGTTTTGAGAAAACTCAAACTTTTGAAAAGAAACGGATTATAAACACACGTTTGACTATGGTAAGACTTAACTGTCGAATCTGTGGTTCTCGTCACTAATGTTTCAAGATTCCCACCTCATGTTACATTTTTAGGAAAATGTTAAATTCATCTTGGATGTTATGCATTTGTTTTTCAATTGTATTACAATAGATTATGAGATTATAGTTGTTTTGTGTCTTTCCAGCATGATTACCCATAGTGTGAGAAAATTAATGGTCACAATTGTCAGGAGACAATCCTCTTTCTTTGCCTAAATTTATTTTGCTGCCCAGTATTTCAGGATAACCTTCATAATGTTCTTAAAGGCCAACTTGGGGCTATTTGTGGAAATTGCTCTCAGGATCCTCTGTGCTCAGCTTCATAAAATGAATCGTGTACTGAATTTGCTAACACTAGTTTGGTTGGTGAAGTTGGAGATGTCCATACAATTTTCAGCAGTCTGTACGCACTTGCAAAGGACCCTCCCCGACACACAGTGTGCAGAGCACAGGTCCTTTAGTATGCCATGCCTTTTACAATGTAAGGTTCATCGTATTTGAGTACAATCCTTGTTTCTTCCCATCTGTCCTTGAAGGGTGGCAAGTTCTTTTAAGGCAGATTTCATGTCTCTCTTAGTCTCCCTGGCTTTTGGAACACAAGTTCTCAAAACATATTTGTAAAATCACTGCCATCTAGAGGTAAGACTGGAGGGATCTTCAATTGCAGAATTGCCCCAGGTGGAAGAATACATGAATAATTTGATTGCTTATTATCTGCAGGAACTTTAGGTGTACTCTGTTCAGAATTAGACTATTTGACACCATCCGTGAAAATTAGTTGTCTGTAATAGACATTTAGCATGTCTCATTCCTTACCTATATCGTCCAGATAGACTTGTAGTTGTGGTGAGTCCTCCACGCCTAGGGCATTGACGGCTTGGACCCATACCAAATACTTCTTTCCACCTTGTAATGAGTCAGTGGAGATATTCACATGGCTGGAGGCAAGATACTGCTGCTCTTCTTCTGTCTCTAAGCTATGAGAGAGCCCACAAATTATATTTATGTAGTTTATTTGTTCCAGAAATATTGGATGCTATCTTTTTCATCTGATTTCAGAACCCAGTCTGTTACTAAAACATGAATCGAACTTAATTTTAACCTACCAAATTTTTAAAAAAAACAAATTCATATGTGGCCCAGGCCATGGTTTAACTTTGATGGTTCCAAATACTTTTCCTATTGTAGACCTCCTCCTCTTTAAAATAATAGCTATATAATCAAGTATAAGAATGTGCAAAATATACATATATGCAAAATACACACATCCATTCTTATGTTCACATATGTTGGTTTATATGTATACTTGTAGACATTAATATTATATACTGAAAATTTTAAGTTATATTTCTTTTCTTATTTGAAAAATTAAACATTTTCATGGACTCCTCTGTGTATCGTGGACAGCAGGCACTGGGCTTACAGTGCCTGTTAATGGCTAACTTGGTGTTGTCCACAGCTTGAAATAAATGAGCCACCTCTGTGAAGGTTCAGTCAGCCTTTTCAGTTGGGTATTTACTTCTACAAGATTGGGTAAACGGTGAGAGTGAGAGGAAGGTCGGGATGGGGTGAGAGACTGAAGCAGGATAGGGAAGGCCAACTGTACAGGTAGAAAAACCCAGCACATTGTAAAATGTAAGCAAAACGATATGGAACTCAACAAGTACTGTCATCTGCTGCATGAAATGGCAGGAAGTAGCTGGGAGTGGAACAGACCACGCCCCAAAGACCTTCTGTTTATGTAGAAGTTCCATTTCGGGGCCCGCCTCTCTCCGGACCCCATCCCTGAGAAACCTATCCAAGCAGCAGCTCCTCACGCTGAGATGCTCAAGACTATGCCTATAGGGTATTTAAGACCAAGCCTATAGACCTGCTATATGATTTCTCTCCTGCTTTCTTCTTCCTGAGAATCACCCAGCAGTTGCTTTGCTCAGATTAAACCTGGCTTTATTGATTTGGCTCGATTTGGCTTATTGCATTGGTAGAGAAACCCACAACCAGGGATTTTCAAAATACTTATCAGCCTCTAATGAGCTGATAGGTTGGGATTTAGCATGTGAGAGGAAGAGAGCACATTGGATCAGCTACAAAGTTTCAGAGGCATCTTCCTGAAGGGTAGACTGCTGGGAAATAAAAGCGGTGTAGGAGAAAGAACAAAAGTTCAGTATCATCCAGAACTGAACTATTAGTTTGAAGTGAGGCTCAGTGGGGATGGCCATGACATACTTTGAAAACAGAACCAGCTGAATATGGTGGTAAATGCCTATAATCCCAGAAATTGGTAGGCAGAGACATGAGAATCCCATGTTCAAAGTCATTCCTGGATATACAGAGAACTTTAGGCTACCCTGGGCTACAGTGAGATCCTACCTCAAAAAATAATGAAAGAAAGTAGTACTGATTTTTACCAGGTAGCTGATTAAATGAGATAAAGGGGTCCTTCGCTGTCTAAGACAACAAAGACCATAATGGTAGGAGGTTGGGGATTAGGCAGTACGGAGAACCATTAAATGCCACTTCAGTTGCATCAGTATTTTTGCATTGTATGACTAAGGATTGCCAGCCAGCCGGTTAATCCTGATGAATTCCACTTGAGTTTTGCTCAACTGTGAAATTTCATTAGCCAGCACTGCCTTTGGACAGCAAACAGGAGAAGCAGACCAGAATAGGAGTCTTCTAACTCTCAAGTGATGGAGACATGTGAATCTCTCTGTGTGTGTGTGTGTGTGTGTGTGTGTGTGTGAGAGAGAGAGAGAGAGAGAGAGAGAGAGAGAGAGAGAGAGCAGCCCATGGGAATCAGTTCTTCTTTTACCCTGTGAGTCAAGATTAAACTCAGGTCATCAGGCTTGGTAGAGAACACCTCTGCCTGCTGAACCATCTAGTGGCCCTCTATTTTTCAACCTCTACTCTGAAATATCCATAGTGTTTTCGTTTTCTCTCTCTCTCTCTCTCTCTCTTCCTCTCTCTCTCTCTCTCTCTCTCTCTCTCTCTCTCTCTCTCTCTCCTCCTACGTAGCTCCAGCTGGCTTGGAATTCATTACGTAGACCAGGCTGGCCTCAAACTCACAGAGATCTGCTTGCTTCTGCCTCCCAAGTGCTGGGATTAAAGGATTACACCACTCACTGGCTTTTTTTTTTTTTTTTTTTTGAGACAGGGTTTCATGTAGCTCTAGCTGGGCTTTTAACCTCCTTGTGTTGTTGAAGACTACCCAGTTTATCCAGAGTTGAGGGTTGAACCTGAGGCTTTGTTCATACTAGACAATCATTCCATTGAGTCACATTTCAACCCTGAAATTCTCATTTCTAAGAAATGGAAATACTTCACAGATCTGCACATCACCATTCATGGGAATGGGGTATTGGGGAGTCATCAGCACCTCTTTTGCACTGTTCTAATTATGGTGTTTGAGCTACTGAGTTGAGGCAAGGACTGGCTGGATTTCATCATCTAACACCACCAACTGCTTTTCTTCTAAGAGAACTTTAAAGTTATTGCCATTTAACGCTTTTCATTCCATTCTAGCTCCATTTATTGCGACATGCCTGTTTAGCAATTCCTGAGTTTCTGCAGCTTCCTAATACTTCAGTAAGAATCAGAACTTGATTCATGTGACTTACAGAGACACACAGATTCAAGAATCAGAAATTGATGCAGGCGACATGCTTGCAGACACATAGATATGAGGAATTAGCTTTACACTTTAACCAAAAATGACTTTATGAATTAAATACCACAGAAATGTTCTGTCATAGGAAAGTCACCCTAGGAGGGCTCTCTCAGGTGGCATAGAGGGGGGACCAGGTAACATGTCCCTAGAAACTCAGGCTTTAAGTTACATCATTTTCCCATACTGCCTCTTTTCTCCTTTCATACACTGTGAGAATTAAGATACTTTACTTAACCTTCATATACTTCAGTTTAATCACATGTGAAACAGGAAAGATGGCATAATTGTAATCATGAATGAAGATAGGTGCATGAGAAGAGAAAGCAACAGAGGACTTATTAAATTATGACAAATTAAAAGGTGTTTGTATGTTACTTTTATGAATATAAATGAAATTAAAAAAATTAAGACAGGGTTCCTCTGGGTCTCAGGTGGGCCTTGAACTCTTAATTTCCTTTCGGTGGCTTCCCAAGTACTAGGGATTGCCAGTGTGTGTGCACTACCACATCTGCTTGATATACATACATACATACATACATACATATATGTATAATTTGTATCTAAAATTACATTATGTCATTGTGTTTAGATATTTATGAAGTTACTTTATATTCTTTTTGAAATAAGAGGGGTCATAAGTTTATCAACAGAGAACTTATTGGAAAATAGCCTAACCTGTGTTAAATAAGAATTCAAAGAGGAAAACAAGAAAGCTGCTGCTATGCTTAGTGGTAAGAGCAAGTGGTAAGTGGGGCATCTTTGACTCTTTTCCAGTTAGAGAAAACCACACACATACATTCTTAACTGGTTTGTGGCTAGTTCTCTTACCTCAGGTCTTATAAGGAGAAATGCATAGGGTACAAAGGATATGACCCAAACAGCAAGAGGAGAGCTGTAATTTACAAAATAGGGAAGAGCAGTTAAAAATGCTTGTCTCCAAACCTGAAAATCTTTTGGAAGCAACCTGGAAGAAGAGCCTGGTATTTGATTGAGAAAAATGCTTCCTTTCATACATCTAAGAGGCCTTTAAATGTTTATGCTCTTGTTGGGCTTGTTGCTATCATTTGCTCCCTTTAATTTCTAGGGTTTAACACAGGCCTGAAAGTCATAAAACTGGAAGTATATATTTGCTAATTGGCTTGGCTGGGCCCGAATGGAGGGCTATGTACTTGTTCATTTGTCTTTCTAAAACTTGTTGAAATGGTTAAATATTTGTTCAGCTGTTTGTTTATTTATTTTTGTGTGTATATTCACAGGTACACATTCCATGATTTTGTGGTCAGAGGTCAACTTTTGGATTCAGTTCTGTCCTTCTACCTTGTGTGCTCAGGAATCAAATTGAGGGTGTCAGGCTTGAGACAAGCACTTTTTAAAAATTTTTTTATATATTTGAATTACAAACAAGATTGAATTACATGATGATCCCAGTTCCCTTCTTCCTCCCTTCCTCCTCTAGAACCATCCCCCAACTAAAATCCTACCTATCATATGTCCTTTCTTCTAATCTACACCTGACTCAACCTTTCTGCTTCCTCATGACCTCTGCATCCTTCCTTTCCTTCCCTTCTCACTCTCGTAGCTTCCTCCCCCTCTTCCCATGCTCTCAATTTTCTCCAGGGGACAAAGTTTGAGACAAGCACTTTTAACTGCTGAGCTGTCTTGAGAGCCCCATTCACTCCTTTCTGTTCAACAACTATTAACAAGCAGAAGGCACTGTCAAACACCACTATAGTAGTGCTATGTAAGGGCCTGCTGAGGACAGGGGACAGCACCATCCATTGATACAAAGAAAAATAACACACAGTTATGTCTACTGGGACCACCACCAGGGAGGAAAAGTGCTCTTGCAGCAACAGACTCAGTTCTGCTTACCAAGGTCCATGCAACACTGGAGGACCTCCTAATTCCCTTTCCCTGTCCTGCCATTGAAGGACTGTCACTTTTCTGTGGAACAAGCAGGTGGCCAGGGTAACAGGCTTTACAGAATGTGTGTGATCTTGCCGGAACACAGGAGCACATGAGTTGAAAGGGAAACTTTGCCTATGCTGATCTCTTGCTGTTTGGCCAAATGGAATAAAAAAAAAAAAAAGGCCGGGTTTTTTTTTTTTTTTTTTTTTTTTTTTTGGCTGATGCATACTTTCCACGTTGCCCACATCATTCAGTATAACCCAACTTTTTTGTGGAGGGAAAAGGCCTTTTGGGCAATTTATTAGAGAATCAGGCTTTTCTTTCTCTATCTTATTTCACCTCATGCTTGAGTTTCCCATGAGTGAAGATGACTAGATGCATTTCCTTTTGTTTGTCTGTGTTTACTGAAAAGTGTGCTTTGAATTTGCTAGAAGAAAACATCTATTTTGTATGATAATTTTTTCAATACTTAATGTCATCTTTAAAGAATTTAGTTTTATTGTTTTTTAACTTTAATGATGTGTGTATATATGTGTGTGTATGCATACATGTGGTTAGGTGTGGGTGTATGCATGCATGTGGGTATGTGTGTGTGTGCATGGGGGTATGTGAGTGTGTGTGTTCATGTGGGCATGTGAGTGTGCATGTATGGGGTTATGTGAGTGAGTGTGTGTGTGTGTGTGTGTGTGTGTGTGTGTGTGTGCATGGTGTGTGTGTGCACATGGGGTATGTGATGCAGGGGCCCATAGAGGCCAGAGTGTTAGATCACCTGGAGCTGGAGTTACAGTTATTATTCATCTGACATGGGTGCTGGGAACCACACTTGGATCTTGTGGAAGAGCAGCAAATGCTCTTAACTGCTAAACCATCTTTCCAGTTTCACTGTGTCTTCTTTAAAATACAATAATATTACATTGATCTGTACTCCATCAATTTGAAATATAGTTTAGGTTTGCCAGAGTTTGACTATAGTTTACCTCCCTTATCCAAAGTGCTCAGGACCAGAAGGATTTTTAGATTTTTTTTTTTTACAGATTTTAGAATATTGCATATACATAATGGCATATCTATGTTCAATAGCTATAAAGTTAATCTTTCATATTAGAACATATTTAACATTATTTTCGTGATTTGTCCAAAGTTATCTGAAAATTGTGTACAGTACTCAGAAATGATTGTTATGGCTTTATTAACCTTTCCTCTCCTATATGAATCAGACTTAGTGTAAGATAAACCACATCAGCCTAAGCAGTTTTGAGTGCACCATAATGTTCTAATCCCCTTTGCTATAGTCTGATTAGTGTCCCTCCAAATGCACATGCTGAGACCTAGCAGCAATGGGTCAGTTTCATATGTAAGATTCAGACACTAGTGCAAGAGTCTTAAGGGACTGAGCTGTTAGATGGTGATGATGTAATGAGGGCTTCAACCTCAATGATGATATCAATGCCTTATGAATAATGGGGTTCTTTCCCCCCTCTCATCTGAGTACATACAGAAGACACTGCTCATGAGGAATGGGCAGGTGGCAGACACCAGATGTCCTGGCACTTTGATCTTGAACTTTGCAGCTTCTAGTCTGTATGAAATATACTATTTCTTACCAGTCACTAGTATTTAGTTATAGTGCCATGAATGGGCTAAGATACCTCCTGTTTCATCGTTGCTTTTATAATTGTCCTTATTCTAAAACAGGAGGTTAAGAACCATTGAGAAAGGCTAACAACCTCTCCGAGGACACACAGTGGCAATAGTGTAGGATGGCAGATAATGTTGAATGGCAATAGTAAGGCTGTTCTGTAATGCCTTCTGCCACCTTTCCATCTGGAAATAGTAGACAGATGCATAGCATGTTTCTGCCCAGAGCTATGGAGGTGGAGGCCATGGGAGGATATCTTTCTTCCTTTCATATCTGGAACTTGAATTCCCATTCAATCTAGAGTTGTAGTACCTAAATTAGAACTAAAACTTGAAGGTCACAATTAGTCATTACTGCTTCCCTTGAACTTACTATTAAAGACCTGACACCATCATACTAGTTGAAAGCCAGAACCACTTAATCAGTAGAACAAACATGCATTAGGGGCCCATTTTAAAGATAAGGAATGAGAATTTTGGGGGACTAAGTACACTATACTAATCCTCAAATGAGAACAGGGCTGAGACTCAGGTCACACTTTAAACTGGGGTATTCAATTCTCGCTACCAGTTATCACCGAGAGAAAAGGATGAGCTTGCCATAGAGTTTGTTGTTTCATGAAGCAGAAAATGGCAGGGTCCTTGGAGTGGTTTTAAATCCCTTAACGGAGGTAGGTGTCTCAGGTTTGAGGCTGGCTTTGGGCTCTGCTGAATCCGCTCTCAGTAGAATGTGTGTCTGATAGTGTTATAGAACCTACCTTCTCACGTGCACCACATACTTGGTGTCTATGTAGGTGGGCTTCCCAGTGTTCCAGGTGCAAATCATGTTGCCTGAGTGTTCATAAATGACACATGTCACTTTGCTGGGGGCATCTGGTGGATCTGAAACAAAATAAACCACTAAGATCTGCTCTTGATAAAGTAGGTAGTTGATAATTTGTCAGTTTCGTAGGGAAACTAGGCCACTTAGCACTAAATACCTATTCCACTACTATTATCTTGTAATCCAGTTTGTCACCAGGCATTTCTCCTGCCCACACCATACTTTGCTGTAGTCTCTACTACTGTGGGATATAACAAGATCAGGCTCCTCCCATCCAAATAAAGCAAGCCCCCTTCCAATTTTCCAATTTTATTTCCCCTCAGCTACCACCCTACTTTTCTTTCTTTTGAATCAAGTCATTAAAAAATTATTCTTGTATATATTTTTGCATGAATGTGTGTGTGTGTGTGTGTGTGTGTGTGTGTGTGGTCCATGTACACTTAGGTGTCTGAGAATTCTGGTGCAAGTGGAAACCAGAGGCCACATTGGATGTCTTCCTTCATTACTTTTCATACTATATTAAACATTTATTTTATTTTTAATTACATATGTCTGACTATGTGGGAATATGTGCATGTGACTGCAGGTGCCTCTGGGGTCCAGCAGAGGGCATTGAATTCCCTAGAGCTGGAGTTACAGGTAGTTGTAAATTGCCCTGCATGGGTCGTGAGAACAAAACTTGGGACTTCTACAAAAAACAGTGTGTGCTCTGACTCACTGAGCCATCTATACAGCCTTTCATGCTTTTTTCTGTTCTTATTGCTATTGTTGTTTGTTGGTTTTGAAGCAGGATCTCTCTCTGAACAGGAAGCTCACTGATTGGCTAGACTGGTAGGCCAACAAGCCCTGGAGATTCTCCAGTCTCTGCCTCCCTAGTACTGGGACTACAGGCAGATATCACCATGCCTGGCTTTCATGTAGATGCAGGAGATCTAACCTCAGGTCCTCATGCTTGCATGGTAAGCACTTTACCAATGGAGCCACCTCTCCAGCCCCTCTAATTTACTCAGGATTAGTTTGCACAGTTCTGTTGAAGCCAAGGTTGTTAAGGTCACAGTAACTTTCTCTCTGCAAAACTTCTTACAGTCTTATCAGAATGACATCAGTATTACAGAGCTTGACCTCTGCAGCAGCTGAGCCTTCTCTTACTTTCCTCTGTTCTTAGGCTCTGTGAGAGATTCTCCAGCTCTCCCCTATTGCCCCAGAACACTATTTCCTCCTGTGGAGCATATAGTTTACCTTACTCTTTGAAAATTTGCTGCTCATGTGCAATTCAGCAGTAAGAGGAAGGCAACTTCCAACCATGTTACAATATGGTTAAAGCGTGAGGACACTGAACAGATTAAGCCAGACACAAAAGACTGCATGATTCCTCTTATACAAGGTATCTATAATAGTCAAATTCACAAAACCAAGGTAGAATGACAGTGGAGACCCATTGGGCAGGCAGGCAGTGTGTGGAAGTCTGGGATGAGGGCTGTTATTCAATAGATACAGTTGGTAAGAGAGTCCTAGAAAGAGAGTGCTGGAAGAATATAAGCAAATGCAGCAACCACACTGAAGCAAGGCCTTAAAAATGGCAAAAATAAGTGGGTTATACTATGCAGACTTTACCATCACCACATCAAAAAGGCTTTTTTTTTTTAAGGTTTGGTATTCATAGAACTATTTCAAGATGTGCTATCTCTCCCACATCCCTGACCACACCCCTACCCACCCACCCTTGTTGAGCTTGTCCTCACCATAGCCTCATTACTTTTTATTTTGTTTGCCAGCACTTTTTCCTATGAGAAACAACACTTTCCCCAATCTCCTCAGCTCCCCTGTCTTCTGCAGTCCAGCCCAAGGATGTTAGTAACTAGGTCCTATGTACAAGGACACCCTTGACCTAAGTGACTTATCGGAGCATTTCCCTTGGGAATGAGCTCATGACTCAGGATGAACCAATAATAGTTCTCCAAGGCTTTCTGTCTCTGTCTGTCTCTGTCTGTCTGTCTATCTCTCTGTCTCTGTCTCTCTCTCTCTCTGTCTCTCTCTCTCTCTCTTTCTCTCTCCCTGTCAGCAGCACATGAGCTCAGCCGCTTGTCACCTTCTTGTCAAAATGAGCAGTCCTTCCAGTGGTGCTGCATTTGAGAGTGAATCCAGCCTGGGACAAAGAATTTTGATTACAGTCTTGGACCCTCAGGACCCCTGAGGCCTATGTAACCCCAGAATGGTATCCAGATGCCCAACTATGTCTTTCAACAATAAGCTACCAGAATTGATGTCTCTGAAAAAGCATTGAAATATTGACTGCTTGCCATACCTCTACATTTCCAGGGCACTTCTCTCAGTTTTCTCCTCCAGGAAAACTCCTGCCTGAGATGACTATGCTGAGAATTACAAGACAAATGGAAGAAATCATGGTGTACACTGGGAGGGGGTATTGTGAGGAGTAAAGCTTGGGCCAGTCCACAGACAATCATGGATTCATGGAGTTATACCTTTGCTGAAGGACTGTTGGCTACTGATGTTTAGGGGTGAGTGTTATCCTCAGTTGTGCATGCAGCAGTGAGTACCCCAGGCACAACAGACAGTTTCAAAATATGGTCACTTGACCCTGGTTAAAATCTTTAGATCACAGAACAAAAAGACATAAATAAGGGGAAAAGACCTGTGAGGAGGAGGTGGGGGGGTGGGCAGGGATGGAGACTAGATAAAAGACGAGGTTAAGAGTCATCAGAATATGTATATGTGAATGAAATTGTCCAAGGACAAATTTAATTCATATAAAAAGGACACAGACATTTTGGTATCTGCAAATTGAATACCATAAATATTACATGTTATTCTGAGAGGCAGATGGATCCCTGTGAGTTCAAGACCAACCTTGTCTACACAGTGAGTCGCAGTTCATCCATAGTGAAATACAGTGAGCTACACAGTGAGACGATTTTCAATAAAACAAAACAAAATGAAGTAAACCCCAAAACCTCAAAAAGTTATTTAGAGCTATCGAATTAGCAAAGATTTAAAAAATGGTATTGCTGCAATCCACACTGCCAGAGAGGCTGGGACACAGGGAGGGCCCTAAGAGAGACATATATGGTCTCTCGGAGAAGGGGAAAAGGACCAGATCTCCTGAGCAGATTGTGAGCATTGGGGGAGGGGAGGGGAAGTTAGGAGAAAGAGAAGGGGAGAAGAGGAGGGGAGAGAAGGACATGAGGGAGCAGGAAGATTGAGTTGGGGAAGAACAGAGAACAAGAAAAGAGATACCATAATAGAGGGAGCCATTATAGGTTTAAAGAGAAATCTGGCACTAGGGAAATGTTCAGAGATAAACAAGGATGACCTCAACTAACAATCTAAGCAATAGTGTAGAGGCTGACTTAAACACACTTCTCTGATAATGAGATTGATGACTACCTTATATGCCATCCTAGAACCTTCATCCAGTAGCTGATGGAAGCAGAAGAAGACACCCACAGCCAAACACTGAGCTGAACTCCTGGAATCCAATTGCGGAGAGGGAGGAGTGATGAGCAAAGGGGTCAAGACCAGGCTGAAGAAACCCACAGATACCACTGACCTGAACAAGTAGGAGCTCATGGACCCCAGACTTATAGCTGGGAAACCAGCATAGGCCGACCCAGAACCCCTGAACGTGGATATTAGTTGGGCAGCCCGGGCAATCTATGGGGCCTCTGGCAGTGGATCAGTATTTATCCTTAGTGTATTAATGGACTTTGGGAGCCCATTCCACGTAAAAGGATGCTCTCTTAGCCTAGACACATGAGGGAGGGCCTAGGCCCTGCTATGACAGACTTTGAAGATCCCTGTGGAAGGCCTCACCCTCCCCGGGGAGCAGAAAATGGATGGGATAGGGAGTTGGTGGGGGGCAAGGGAGGGAGAGGAAGCTGAGATTGACATGTATAATAAGCTTGTTCCTAATTTAAATAAAAAGTAAAAAATGGTATTGTAAATTATAAAATGTTGAAATAAATTTGTTAAAATCCTGAAACTCATTTTTAGCATAAGTACAAATGTAGATACCCTCTGAGGTTTACTGTTTGTATTATAACAGTGAAACGTAAGAATGGAGCTGGCAAGATCCCTTAATAGAAAAGGTGCTTGTTGCCCAAGCTGAGAATCTGAGTTTGATTCCCAAGATCCATAGGGTAGAGACAATGGACTTTTGGGGGTTGTCCTCTGACCTCTACGTGCATGCCATGTCATGTGCATGGGTACTCACATGCACACAGAATAAACAAAAAATATAACTAAAAAATTTCAAGTGAGAACAACATGCAACACAGCAGTTGTACAGTTAGGAGTGCATTCTTAATGAAATATCTACACACACAAGAAAATAACTTGTTAAAAGGATGTAACTACCCTTCAAAGTAGTCTTCACAATAATGAAAAACATGGAATCTCCCTCAATGCTACAACACAAAGCTGAGAAAACTATAATATATTCCTAAAACACACCTTAAAACACTTGTTGATGATGCTTTAAGGACTTAGAAGTTATTAGAAATATATTACTAAGTAATGACTATATAATGAGGTGATTTTAAAAGCATGTTATGGCCGGGCATTGGTGGCTCACGCCTTTAATCCCAGCACTCGGGAGGCAGAGGCAGGTGGATCTCTGTGAGTTCGAGGCCAGCCTGGTCTCCAGAGCGAGTGCCAGGATAGGCTCCAAAGCTACACAGAGAAACCCCATCTCGAAAAACAAAACAAAACAAAACAAAACAAAAGTATAGAAAGAGAAAGGGAAATGCTGAAACTTCAAGGACACATTCCCATGGGATTATGTCATGGGTAGAATGATGGACTCATGTACTTCAGGCATTTCTATTTTCACTCATCAAAGGCTTTTTAACTGTATGTTGAATTCAATAAATTTTACTATGAAAGCTGTGTTCTTGGCTACAGAGATGCCTCAGTGTTAAGAGTGTTTGCTGTACAATTATGGAGCCTGGAGTTTAGATCATGGCACCCATGTCATGAGCTAGGCATAGGCATGGTATGCACACCTGTAACCCCAGCTCCTAGTCTAGTCAAGAAAATGTGAAGCCTGGGATCAGAGAGAGACTCTGCCTCAAAGGAAAAAGAAGGAGAGCAATAGAGGAAAACGATCAGTGTCCCCTTCTGGCCTCCACACCTTCACACACATATGTGCATGCATTCTCACACAGAAACACATACAAACAACTCAATCTTTTTAAAAAGCTATTTCAAACAGTGATGATGACATGAAAGTGCTTTGTAAGAACTTGGAGAGTGGTAGCATTAGGTCCCAATGAAAAATGTGGGCTCCTACAAGGTGAAAAAAATCTTTGTTTCACTTGAACTTGAAGGAGGTAAGGTGGCAGTACTTTAAATATTCTAAACACTGGGTTGTGAGAGTTGGTGGATTTTAATAGTGGGATTATGTCATGGGTAGAATGATGAACTCGTAGGCTTGATAGGGGTTTCTATTTTTGCTGCCTTTTTCCTGTGGTTTTAGACAGAGAGTACTGTAATTTGACAATTACAGAAGACAAATGTCACCTTTCTGGACTTTGTTTCAAACTACTCTGTAAATACGTGGTTGGCATCAACTTTGAAAAAGACAAAAATGACAATGCTTCATATGGCTAAGTGAGCAATGTGTGTTAGTGGGAAGCAGAATACAGAGCTAGAGAGTAAAGTCAGGAGAGGAACATCCCATGTTAGATTTGCTGCTAGGTTATCAATACCCAAGAATAAAGCTGGCCGTTCACTTCATGAGAATACCCTGGGCACACAGAGAGGATTAAGATTGTGTCCTCTCGTGTACCCTTATAAGGTGATCCCTAATCATTTACTGGGAGACTTTTAATTTAGTCCAACCAAAGATTGCTTGCCATTGAGATCTTCTGAAGAAGCAGGGTCTGGGGTTCTCTTTGTATTTCTAGTACTTAGCACCTTATTTGGTACATTTGTAAAATAATCACTGGTTTAATCCCACGAGGCTCCATCAAAAAGATGACAATGATAAGAATTAAGATGGAGAGGGCAAGGTTTTTCAGGCTGAGATCACTAAGCCCCTGCAGGAGGGTGCAGGCCAGACTATCCACACAAGGAGCAACACTGAAGCTATTCAGGATTTTGTATGGCTAACAATTCTTTCATCACCATAAGTACAGGTCGAAGACTGAAAACATGTAAGACGTAAATGCTTCAAAGTTTAAGTAAATGGTTAAGTGGAAACATCACTTACATGGTTTATTTAATTTGACACTATTCAATGACCTGTATTGAACAAACTTCCCATAATATGCTCTCATTTAATCAGAGATAAGAATCTAAGAAGCACTTGAGGTTATGGATTATAGTGGAAACTGATAGTGGTATTTCAGAAATCACTCATTAGGAAGACTTTGAAATGCCTGGATCTTGTCAGGGAAAGCACTGACTCACACTCCCTCTACCTTCCACGATGAGTCAAAAACGCCTGTAATCACTCTGTTCACAATAGTGATGACTACTTGGCATCGTAAAGCTTACAGAACAAATACCCTGCATCAAAGAGGCCCAGTGAAAGCAGTGTGCTTTCTGGGGCACCACAAAACCCTCAAGGCCCCTCTTTTGACCTAGTTAATAGGACTGAAATTTGCTGAGAACACAGCCCCAAAGCACATTCAGCTTGAACCCAGGGGTTTGAGTAAATTCTGGCCTGGTAGTTGGGTTTTCACACGCATAACCCCAGGTTTCTGTGAGGAATTACACTTCGAAAATTAATGAATGGAAAGAGTGATGGTAGAGGGTGAGAGCTTCTCTTAGGCTTTCCTGGAGGGGGAACAGTCTCTGACCTGAAACATGGCGTGGCTCTGGGCTTTGGGCAAAAACCCCTCCACCAACACTAGGAGGGTGGCAGAGAGGCGAGGGTCACCTCCACTCTGATGTGGGGAAGGGCTGTTAAGTAAAACTTGTAAGAGCATGTTTGTTGTTTTGGATGAAGATCCTAGGAAAATAAACTAGCAGTTCAAACCAAAATGAAGGGGCCTGTGCTCAGTGCCGAACTGAAGTTTAAGATCAGGTTTGCCTGAAAATAGGAGGTTCAATAGCAACCTGTATTGATAGTTCATTCAACAGGACCCAGCAGAGGGCAGACCCTTTCTGCTTTAACCAAAAGTAACATGGTGGGAACTGTTTGGATTTCTTGTTCCATCTTATAACATCACCTGCTCTGATCTCCATCACTGTATCTGTCCATTTATAGGACGAGGTGCTCTTTGACTGTAAGTAAGAAACTGTATGTAAGACACAGAATTGGAAACCAAAGTTGCTGGATTGTTTTCTTTTAATAGAAGTAATACTTATTTTAGATTTTCCCTTTCACTTAAACCAACAGCTCACCTTTCTCAGAAACTGTGGAGATTTCTTATTTTCCCTCTGAAAAATTGCATGTCACAGCAGAGTACTGCCACACTGAGAGGCTCATTTTGTTCCTGAGGATATGGGCAAGCTAACAAGATTTCATGTATCAGTTGAGCTGACTGCTTGTGGTTTGACTTTCACCATGTAGGCACATTTTAATGTTTAATGTGTTAATTCAATGCACATTTAGCAAGTTTATCATTGAAGTCTAAAACTTACTTATTCAACTCTCCTCCACCACATCCTATAGCTATCTCATTTGAAAGACATGTATACTTGGTCAGCTGCTGGAGTTAAGGAGGACAGTGACCTTATTACAGAACGAGGAAGTCTCCTAGCTTTCAGGCATTCAACCCAGAGGCCAAGTAATGGGTCTGCTCTGGTTGTTCTTATCTATGATCTGGAGCCAAGGAAGAAGCAAGAACTTATTCAGTATTATCAAAAATATGGGAGAAGGGGGCCCTGCTGATCTTTCACCCCAAATGGCAAAGATGTACTGGGGAATGACTCTTGGCTTTAAAACGATGGTGAGAGGATAAGGAAGCAGCCCAGTTAGCTGTGCAAGCATGAGGACCTGAGTTTAGTCCCTAGCATCTACATAACATGCCTGGCGTGATGTCATGATCTTGTAATCCCAGCACTGAGTGGGTAGAGACGGAAGGATTCCTAAGGCTCCCCGGCCAGCCAGACTAATTGGTGAGCCTCAGGTGAGACAGTGTGAGGCCTTGTCTCGAAAATCAAGGTAAAAGACTCCTTTTGAATAATGTACAAGTTTGACCTCTGGCCTCTGCATCCTTGTGCATACACACACATGTACACTTGGACACAATCACAGACACAAACACATAAAAAAAAAGGTCCATAAATATTTATACAAATAAGTACAGGAACTTACACACCTTCCTAATATGTGAATACAAACTGATTTAGTATGTTTTGAAATCAACTTGACTAAATTTTTCTTTTTCTTTTGCGTTTCTATTCTTTTTATGGAGATTTTTAAAATTTAAATTAGAAACAAGCTTGTTTTACATGTCAATCCCAGTTCCCTCTCCTTCCCCTCCTCCCCTGCCCCCCACTGGCCCCCATCCCACCCCTTTTCTGCTCCCCAGGGAGGGTGAGGCCTTCCATGGGGGGAATCTTCAAAGTCTGTCATATCATTTGGATCAGGGCCTAGGCCCAGCCTTGTGTGTCTAGGCTGAGAGAGCATCCCCTTATGTGGAATGGACTCCAAACAATGGAATCTTGAAATTCGCAGGCAAATAGAAGAAACCATCCTGATTGAGGTAACCCAGTCACAAGAAGACAAACATGGTATGTGCTCACTCATATATGGATTTTAGACATAGAGCAAAGGATTACCAGCCTACAATCCACACCACCAGAGAATCTAGTAAACAAGGAGAACCCTAAGAGAGACATACACGGTCCCCCGGAAAAGAGGAAAGAGACAAGATCTCCTGAGCAAATTGGGAGCATGGGGGGAGGGGAGAGGGAGTTAGAAAACACCACAGCTAAATTTTTCTTAATAATGACAGTAACAGTAATTCATAACAGGGGCTATGGGATTAAGAAGAGATGGTATGAGAATTTCCCTATCTATGTTTACTCATTTGTTTATTGACATGGAGTCTCACTATGTAGCCCTGGCTGGCCTGGAAATCCTGATTTAGAATGGGCTAGTCTTGAACTTATGGAAATCTGCCTGTGTCCCAAATGCTGGGATTAAAGGTCTGTAGAATCTTACATTTTATCAAAACGTGTATTTATAAGAGTTAGACACTAACATACTATAAAGTTTTTAACATGTACTCAAATAAATTAATGAAGTATGGTGTTTACAAGTACTTTCATTCCACAACAAGATCATAGAGGTTGAGGTCAGCTAAACAAATTGCCCAAGATCACACAGCTCACTGGGAAGACAGTGAGAATACAAGGGTAGTTTTGAATATACCCTCAATCTTGGTTTCAAAATCTCTCACTGAGATCAACCAGCTTCAAAGTTAATGATATCAGTTTGGAAAACAAATTCACCAACAAAAGCCAAATGAAAAACAGATGAAGAGAGCATCATTTAAACTTTTTGTTGTTGCCAAGGCTCAGGTTAATCAAGAATTTACCATCCTGCTTTCTCCACATCCAGAATGCTGGGTTACAGGTGTATGCTGTCATCCTTACCTAAGAGTTGCCTCTGAGACCCAGGGTGTTGGCTTTCACATAGACTGCATTCATTCCAGCTACTGGGGAAAATTGTCCTCTAGGGTATTTGCAATATTTTAAAATTTATGGTGTTCTCATCAAACCTGCATTCATATATCTTCTTTCGAAAACTCAGCAGATCAAGGCATACTGGGCCCTATGTGGCAGTGGATGTCCCAGTGAGCCATGATCTTTCTTCTCTCTATAGACCTTACCAGTCTCTCTAACTCAAGAGTTCATCAACCTGACTCTGTAGACATTTGAGTTGAGCCCTGTCTTAAACCTATCTTATGGGTAAAGTATGTTAATTTGCCTCTAGCTTTAGTTCAAAAGCCCAGAAACTTTCAGTTAACCGTTAGCATACATTACGGTACTTACATCCAGAGGAAATGTCTTTCCCACAAATGAGCGTCTCTTGATGATGCCCAGGACATTCGGCAGTGCAATGTATAGAGGCATGAGCCTCCTCAAAGCTTTCATACTGAAGTCTGGCTGTTGTACTATTAATCCTCGTGATATGAAACCTTTGTTTGAAGCCATTTTTATAAAAAAAAAGCTTCCTTGGTTGGCAGTTCTTAAGAGCTTCTTGGCAGTATATAGAAACATTCATCCCCATCTGAAAAATTTCACCAGGCTCTACCCACATGTCACCAGAGCAGTTTATATTTGTAATTCCTGGAAACAAACACATGAAATAATCAATTGTATGCAAAATATTGCAAGGGACTTAGAAGAAGTACATGTTACTGCATGTAAAGTCTATTCTTTTGATAACTGAATGATTACTGAAGAACAGTTGTGTGTTTTTATATGGTTCCCCTGATGGCCAGAAGTCAACACAGCCTTTGAGCTTTCTCATGGTCAGGGAGAAAATACAATTTCCTCTTCTACTGTAAGGTGGAGAATGTTATGAAGCCACAGCATTGGTTTCAAAGATGAGACTCAAAAGTAGCACAGGGCACTGCAGAATCCAATTCTTCTCTTGATTCTCAACCAATCTTTTGTTGAATTGGGGGATGTTTTTGTTTGTTTGTTAGAGATAAAAGCTAATGTGAATACAATTATCAAATTGTTACAAAAGAGAGCACTTAGTAGCCACATGAAACTCATCACTAATTTATTAATATAGGGGAAACAATACATTATTGAGTTAGAAAGCAAGCTTCTAAACAACATAATTCATAAAAGCTCAACATTGGAAAAAAGCAAATAATGGCCAAATCAAGGAGAAATACTGGAAGTTTTTAGCAACAACAATCTCCTTCTGAATATTTTTATTTAACATTGTGTATGTCTGTGACTTAAACATTATACAATGGGTGTGTTACTTTCATGACACCAGATCACTAATTTAGAGTTTAATGGCAGTGCTTGCCTTGAGTTACATTTCCACCAGTCGCCCCTAATAGTGTGTGTGTGTGTGTGTGTGTGTGTGTGTGTGTGTATAATCTATTCAAATGGAATGGAATGTTAAAGAAATAAAGCTCTTATCTAAAAAACACACCAGAAGTTTTAGGAAACTTGTTGTAGCTTTTCCTGGAAATATTTGTATTAAAATTATTTAAGTCTTATTAAGATAAGAATAAAGATCAGTATTTGATCTTAAAAAGGCCCTTGTCTTTGGAACATAAATCTTAAAGAACTAGCTTGTTGAGTATGTAGTTTAAGATATCCTTTCCTTTAGGTAACATTTACACATGTTGAAGCAGTAATAAAATAATTACAACATCATCACTAGGGAATAGGACCAGAGACATAAAAAGGGAGTTTATGACAATACTGTAACCCCAGGACTCAAGAGACTGAGGAAGGAGAACCATAAGTTTTGGACCAGTTTGTGCTATATAGATTATAAGCTCTAAAATAGCCTATGCTACACAGCAAAGAATGAGAGCAGGTAGCATGGCCACCAAGTCTGAAGACATGAGTTTTATCCTTGGGCCTCACATCGTAGAAAGAGAGAAGCATGTTGTCCTCTGGCTTCCTCCTTGTGCCATGGCAAACACTTTGTTCCCCAAACAGGTAAATCAGTGTGAAAATATTTAAAAAGAAAGCGAGAAATACCTATCAAGGTATGGTAGCATATGCTTATAATCCAAGTTTATAATCCTTGGGAGGCTGAAGCAGAAGGGGACTTTGAGGCCAGCCTGGATTACATAGCAAGTTCAAGGCTGATGTGCAAGAAGTAACTTGGTCTTAAAAAATGAATGAAAGAAGGAGCTGGGGAGAGCAAGAGGAAAGGCAAGGAGGAGGAGGCAAACCAGGGCATATTGAGTAGAACATCACGGGTCCAGAGTAAGATGACAGACAGATTTGTGAAGCACTCTTTCTATTCTTTTTTTTTTTTTTAAGGAAATACATGCCTATTTTAAATAAGTTTGATAATTCAAGTATAGAAAAAAACATATCTCTATGACTCATTGTGAAACCATTTTTAGAATACATACAAAAGTGTCAAAAGATTAGGTCACATGTCCTGGGTTTTAGAAATGGCTTTTCAGAACACAGTGGGGACAAGTTGTTGATTGGGAGGAGGCAACACAGACTAGAAAAGAATAGGTCATGTTAACTTGTTAGCTCCTTTTCCTCTTTTTACTTCTTGAGACAGGCTTTCACTCTGCAGCCCATGCCAGCTTTGAATTCACTTCCATCCTCTCATCAGCCTCCTGCCTGATGGTAATATAGACATGAGGTGCCCTGCCCGGCTAACTGAGTTTCTTAAATAAGGTGATTAGATTGGCTAGAGGTGTTTGACTTTTTATAGAAATGTGTAATCATACTTTATATCTTTATAAAGCCATTTGTTTATTTAGGACTTTTTTTAGAGTAGTTTCCCTATGTGTGCCAAGGTGTCTTTGAACTCACTCTGTAGTCCATTCTAGCCTCAAACTTGCAATAGTTTTCTTGTCTCTGCCTCTTGAGTGTCAGGATTACTTGGCGAGTAAAGCTACTGAAACGGAGTAACATTATCCTAGTGTAAACCTGGACAGATGTCACCTGGATTCTATTAAAAGAGTCACAGAAGAAGGAACAACACTGCCATGCACTGTCCCACATCATGTCTGACTTCACTGTGGACTTGTCAGCTGGCTGTATAAGCAGAAGTTCTACTTTTTGTCTGTGAATTTCAAGCAACTGGCGTCTTTTCTCCTAAACCCTGAAGGAATCTTTTGGTCTGACTCTGAAGTGTCCAGTTATCTTGCTGCAAGTTTTCACATCTGCATCTACTGTGCCAACATAATTGTGTCCATGACTAGATGAGCAATATGGAAGTCAGCATGGTCCCAAGCCAGGGTGACGTACAAATTTGTGGGGCATTTCACATTGGCAAAAAACAGAACAAAAAATTAAATAAATAAAAGCTCCACAAAACTAAAGAACAAAACAAAACAAAAAACCTGAAAAATAAAACAAAAAAGGAAAAAAGCAAACACATTCCTCACTATTCTGAATCACCTAGTCTGAAAAGTGCCAATCACTGTCCAGAACCCCGTGTTGGTATCGTTTCTCTTCCTGTAACTGTACCCTTGCCCAGGAGACAGCTGTTCCCAACAGGAACTCCCAGATGACAACCATAGCCTTCCTTAAACTTCTGCATATCAAAGGACTTGTTTTATTGAATGTTTATGTGAATTATAAGACAGAAACAACAGCAGCAAAATAATGGTGTAACAATGAACTAAAAACCAGCAGAGAGCTTGCTGTACAGTAATCATCAATAAGTAGTTCACAGAATTGAAGGAAATGTAGACTTTGGATAAGTTACATAACAGTTCTGGTAATCCCAAATAGAAAACCTCAAGATGGCTTCCTTTGTAGAAACATTCATGAATGACAGAGGAGTGTCCATTGAGGCACCTGTTGGAAGAAAAACAAAAAACAACAAAAAACAAACCAAACAAAAACAACCTGCATTTGGAGGGAAGTTTTTTTTTTTTTTTTTTAGTTTGTTCCATTCCATATTAATTTTTCTCAGTGCAATAATTTTTGTGTTTTCCAGATATTATGACATAATGGCTTGAAAATGATAACCATTCAATGTTCTATTTGTTAAATGAAAAGAGACAGATACACGAAATACTTACTATACCTGCATGACACCATCTGAAGAGCACATAAAAGGCTATTCCTACATGCAACTGAAGCATGAGGTGACTCATGTCCCAGATGAGGAAGAAACCTTTCATTTCTCTCTGGAAGAAAACAGGAAAACTCTTTATATTACATTTTAATGAGATACTGACCATTGCATTTCTCACGATTATAATCTGTACAGGATCCTGTCATTCACAATGACAGAAACAGGGCAGACAGATGCCAGCATTCTTCAAGGAGCTTCATCAACAGGCGGATATGCAGAGTATCAAGGTGGAATGTCTGCCTTCGAGCAACACTGCAGGGTATCCTAGGAGGTCATCAGACCCTGTTTAAAATCAGACAGCTCCTCTGTCTGAGGTAACCTCTGTTGAAGAACAATTAATGTCTGACAGGCTCACACCCTTTATGATCTGAGGAAAAGTGGAACAAGAATAAGACATATACTTTGACAAATGAAAGCTACAGAGGGCCCTTCATCTCTGGTGCTCAGAAGAGACCGGTGATGGAAGACACTATCCACAGTTTCCACCTGGGCCCTTGGTCTTCACTCGTCAGTCTACTAGTTGTGGAGTAAGTTAGTTACTCAGTGACAGTTACTGTGTTTTTGTCAATTTAGTTAAACCTGAGTTTTCATATTAAAGAACTTCAAAACACAATTCATGGCTCGTCAACTGGCACAAAACACGTGATTCCATTTTTTGTGGCTCATGAATTTGGAGAGCCCTTTTTTAATTCATGACAGCATAGTTCTATAAGGGGCAGTACAAGCTGTAGAATTGCCTCATCAGAAGTTAGCTGCTCACCACCCAGCCATCGGAATTGATATGATAGCATCCAATAGGAGAGACTCACCTTTCAGGAGTAGCTTTGCATGAAAGAGTCACAGAACACATGACAGAGCACTTTGGCCTGTGCATGTCCAGAGGAAAGTGCAGCGGTCTTTAAGTATTTCAGGGATTAGGGTCTCTTTACCTCTCTGCTCATTTGCAGCACCTTCTCTTCAGAACCATACAGCTGCCCTGGTGGCTGCACTGTCTTCTTCCCCACTGCTTGCCTGTCAGTGATTGCTTCAGATTTTTACCTATGAGGCAAATGGAAATGTCAGCAGTGCCCTGACCTACATTTCTGTTTCCTGAAGAAGAACTTGGTGTCCATTTCATAATGACTAGCTCTCATGTCACTATCTGGGAAAACCCAGATTACTGAAAGTGAGCTGCAGGCTCAATACTTTCCCCCTCACCTTAATTGAAAACAAATGTCTTATACAAGAAACCAAATGGATGGGCATGATTGTACATGTTTTTAATCTCAGCACTTGAGAGGGAGAGACAGGCCGGTCTCTGTGAGTTCAAGGTCAGCCTGGTCTATGTAGGGAATTCTAGACTAGCTAGGGTTACATAGTGAGACCTGCTCTCAAAGCAAATAAACATTAAAAAAAAGAAGAAAATATTAATCCATATAACAGCTTATTTTTCTACCTGCAAAATACACTAAAGTGAGTGAGGTGATATTGAGGGTGAGAGAACTGGAGGGAAACCTTCTACTCCCCCCAACTCCTTCAGAGATACTGGCAATGTGGGGCAACTGAGGAGGAAGTCGCACCACTCTCTCCTGTCAGCCTCATCTCCATGTTCATTTTTGCCAATCCCAACCGCACACTATTAAGCAGAAGCTCACTGAGGCTAAACCGAGAGGCTGTGCTTCCCCGGCAAGAAGCACAGCTTCTCAATGTCAACACTCCTCCTCTTTCCTTTGGCTGCTGAGGGCCAATGGTGGGTGAGAGAACACCACATTTTAGCTTGCAAAATCATGAGAAATGAGATCTCACAGCAGAGAAGGGTATGTGGAAGGGAGGGAAGATACACATCCCCAACCAAAGACAAAAAAGAGGAGCCAAAGCAGCATCAACAGGCAAGGGTAAGGGGGACAGGGGTTATACCTTAGTTTGCCAACAAATGCAGGGAACAGACAAGGGATGGCAGGCCTCTGAGGGAAATGAAAAGGGAAAGTAGATGAATGTGAAGCCAGTTTTGAAATCTCCTGCAAGTTAGAGAGTAACTGCTTCATGTGCAACATTTCACATTTTTCTTTATGGTTCCCATAACTATGGTTTAACTGTTAGGGGTGCTTGCTGCTCTTTCAGAGGACCCAAGTTTGGTTCCAAGCAAACACATTGTGGAAGAACATTCAAAACATGGTTGTGCTCAGACACATTGCAGACAGTGAGACTGCAATTTCTGCGAGTAAAATCTGGACCCTGAGATTTTTGCAAAAGCCTCCTGAGTGACTGTAATAAGTGGCTAAGCTGAGAACCCCTGGGAAACATGACTGTATTATAACTATGAAAACCAAGCTGAAAAATAATCATGGACCAGGATTTAATGATCAGTTATAGTGGAACAAACTGTAACAGCGGTGCGAAAACATTTCACTTACGGAGAACAGAAAGTGCAAGTGACTGTCTCTGAGGATCTTCAAATGGCTTCTCCAAGGTGAGAGAATAGAGAGCTTCAATCAGAAAGTATGTTAGTGGAGAGGTGAGCATCACGGTACATACCTGTCATCCTAGTCCTAGAAGTATGAGGCAGGAAGATCAGGAGTTTGAGTTCAGCCTTAGATATATAGCAAGATTCTCCCTGCCCACTCGACCCCTGCTAGACTAAAACAAACAGAACAAACAAACAAACTTCAAGTCAGTAGCAGCCTGAAATTGGTGGTGTATTTCTAACTAAATAATTAAGTTTCATTCTGAAGGCAAAAAACGAGATTCAAATATTGCTAAGTAAAGAAATAATATTATCCAATGGAGCTTTGGAAGAGAATTGGGATGACTACTGGAGAAATGATTAAAGATGAAGCCACCACCCCAGAGGGGAGGGCTGCCAAGACTCAACTGGGGCCAGAAGAAGGGCAAAGCAGTGGGGTTTGGAGAGCTATGTGGAGATGTGGAGGTGTTCTGCAAAAATTATTTGCTTGGAATGGGTAAAAATATCCAGTTTATTTGAGGACAATCAACACATTTTCATTACTAGGTTACTGAAAGTTGTCTGTCTTTGTTTAGGTTGACAGAGTCTCACTGGTATATTATACTTTGATAAATTATACTTTGTTATTCATGCTGACTTTGAACTAGGTTTTGTGGTGCAGGCGTTCCTCTTTCAACTGTTTTTTCTTTTCCCCTACATTAATATCTTCCAGTGGGTGAACATTCACCACCACTTCTTTCCTTTACCCGTGGTGTACAGCTCACTGAGCCTGACCTACCTTTCAACAATGGAAATTCTGAGTAATTAAGAAACATACAGACTAAGTGACATAGTTATTATTTAGGAAAGTAACAAAACTATTTTCAATGACTTTATAAAAATATTAAAGTAGTGTTAGGAGTGCTTACCCAGCATATATAGATTCATTTCTCTAGATTCATTTCTAGCAGCCTAAAATTTATTTGAAGTAATTCTTTCTTAGTTTATGGCTTATTTATGTTTTTAAATAAATCAAGGTTACTTTTATTCATTCCTTAAATATGCGCAATTAAGTGAGGAGCTATTTTGTCTTATTAGTTATCACAGCACTGAACTGGTACCTGAAGGTTTTTCTGAGAAGAAAGAGGCATATATTGAATTTTCTGAAAGATAATGCCACCCCTAACCAGCAGCTCAGGGCTTCAACTTCAGACACCTCATCATCACTAAGCTCTGTTACAGAGAAAGGAACAGAAGGCTGATTCACCCCGTTTCCTGTGAGGTACACTCTAAAGGTTAGCTTTGCAGGATTTCCCAAGACATTTAAGAACTCTAAGCGACAGAGACAAATGAGAACCACTATTGGGAAGTATAAAATAGAACAACCAATTTGAAATTTAAGCAAGCTCTTATAAATTCTCATATACAAATCAGAAATTGTGCTCCTTGGTATTTACTCAGAGGATAAAAATCTAATAGAGTACAGAATTCAGCATATGGGAATTTACAACATTATTCATATTTACTCAAACTTGGATACAACCAGTATGTCTATTAGTAGGCAAATGGATAAACTCTAGTATAGACAGATGATAGAATATTAATCAGTGTTAAAAAATGAGCTATGATGTCAAATAAAGATGTGGGGAAAGCTTAGATGAATGTTATTAGGTAAAAATAAGCCAGTCTGAAAGACTAAATACTGTATGGTCCCTACTGCATGATGTTACAGAAGATAAAAATTATAGAGAATTGAGAATCAATCAATCAATCCAACAACAACGAAATAATCCCAGTGTCTATCAGGGATTAAGTGGAAGGGAGAATAGGATGAAAGGGCTAAGCACAGAGAATCTTATTTTTTCTTTCTTTTTATTTATTTATTTTTTATATATTTGAATTACAAACAAGATTGAATTACATGACGATCCCAGTTCCCTTCTCCCTCCCTTCCTCCTCTACCACCCCCTCCAACTAAAACCCTACCTATCATACGTCCTTTCTTCTAATCTACACCTGACTCAAAACTTCTGCTTCCTCATGACCTCTGTATCCTTCCTTTTCTTCCCTTCTCACTCTCGTAGCTTCCTCTCCCCTCTTCCCATGTTCTCAGTTTGCTCAGGGGATGGTGACCCTTTCCCCTTCGCCAGGGGACAAAGTTTGTCTCTTTTAGGGTCTTCTTTGTTTACTAGTATCTCTGGCAGCCACAGAGAATCTTTAAGGTAGTGAAACTACAGTGATTCTACAGTGATGCTTCATGCTACTCTATATACTCTGACCACAGAATTCATATCACCTTATCACAAACCAGGACTCTGTGTGATAATCGCATGTCACTATAGGCTTCTCAGTTCTAAAAAAATGTATCCCACTGATAAAGGTGTGAATATAGTACATAAGAAATCTGTAGAATGTTTATCCAGTTTTTCTGTAGAATAACTTGCTTTAAAAAGATAAAAATAAAGTTAAATTAAAAAGACAAGTCAGGAATTTCAGGTGAGAGGAGGCTCAACCAAGGCAGTAACACACATAGGTGTTGAGGAGCAGATGGCATTAGTTGGGAATAATTTTGGACTCTGAAGTCCCTGAGCCTGAGG